ATAAAATAAAATAAAATAAAATAAAATAAAATAAAATAAAATAAAATAAAATAAAATAAAATAAAATAAAATAAAATAAAATAAAATAAAATAAAGCCATYGCCCTCAGGCTTCCAGGCCCGCTGGGTGCATCCTGCCGGCGGAGCCCCCGGCGCCGGGGGCCGGGCTGTTACCGGAGCGCTCGGGAAGCGCCCGGGCTGCCGGGATAAAAGCGGGCGCAGGGGGCGGGCCGCGGTGCGGGAGCAGCGCGGGCCGTGGGGGATGCGCGGGGGATGCGCGGGCCGCGCTAGCGGGGCCGGGCGCGTCCCGGGGCAGCGCGTCCATGGGCTGGAGGCGGCGGAGGAAGGAAGGGAGGCAGGAAAAGGCAGCGGCGCTTCCCCGGCGCGGGAGCCGAGCGCGCTGCGCGCCGCCCCGCCGGCACCCGAGGTAAGGGAGCAAACCCGGGGGAAAGGCGGCGGGGAGGCAAGRGCAGCTCGGGCTGCAGGGGCTCGGGGGCGGCCGGACGGAGATTTATGCCCCTAAACACCGGGAGTCCGGGGCTTTTCAGCAGGAAACCGAGTCCTTCGCGGCGAGCCCTGCCGGGGACCCCTCGCTCCGGAGGGACGGAGGCAAAAGAACCGCTTTGGATCCCGGTTGGGGAGTTTTCTGGCCCGTTTTGCTTGGCTTTGTAGCCTTTGAGTGCTACCGAGTGCTTTCCTGCTGCCCCGTTACCTCTGCGCTCCCATTTTTTTTTTTAATTGGAGGGGAAAATGATGGCAGCGCTGCAGCCAGAACCCCTCCAGATTTGGCGTCAGCTCTGGGGAAAAGAAAAGAAAAAGAATTAGATTTTAAGGGCTTCTCAAGAGCTCCGGCTCTCACGAAGCTGGGGGTAATTGCGGCCGCCTGGCCGGRGCTGCCCTGCTTCTCTCCAGCCCTTCTTCCTCCACAACGACACGCTTTGGGCAGAGAGGTGAAGGTTTCAGCTTAGAGCAGACAAAAGCTGCTCCGCGTTTCTGGAAAGGCGCCGCTGCAGGAGCTGCTTTTGAGTGGGGCGCAGGGGACATYGCCGGGGGTCTCATGGCAGCTCCCAGCACGGCACCCAGGCTGCCAAGTTAAGGACTTTTCTGCCCTTGTTGTTACTTTCCGACTTGGGGAAAATATCCCCCGCTGAGGGTTTTCTTTCTGCTTGCAGTCAGTATCATAAGGTAATGCAAGCTCAGGAGATGGCAGCAGATAAAACGTGGCAGGAACAGAGCCTTGCAGCTACAGCAGCACGTTCTCAGTTTCGTGCACTGTGATCGAGAGAGCTCATTCCTATAACCTCTGTTTAAGAACAGGAAAAAGGTCTATTTTTTATACCGAAAACTTTTAAAGTATCACCTTAACTTTCACTGATAGCTAAAAAGAATCCTTGAAAACTCATTTGCAAAGTTCCCCATGAAAATCTGAGTATGGCTCTATGCAAATAGCAAAACTATTGTCAGAAGCAGAGCGAATCCGCAAGCTCCAAGCCATTTAAAGATGCAGCTGCCAGAAAGCAACACGCYGCAATGCCAGGAGCCCCCTGCGGAGGAGCTTGCAAGAGGAGCTTGAAACTTTGAGTAATGTTCCGCCCTGGTTTTCTGGGAGGAGGCGACTGTGTCTCTTGTTACTGCTCCCCTATATGAGCAGAACATCAAAATCTGGCAGATGGGAAGCGCTGGGAAGGCCAGTGATAAGGATATTCCCCCCGCGCAGCCCTTTTCTATCMGCTTTTTCGTACTACTATTCTGAAAGGCGTCACGAAGCCGGCAGGCAGAGAGCCTTGCAGCTTCGCTGGGCTCAAGGGCTTTTAATGTTGAAGGAAAGGCCAGAAAAGCAGGGAAAGGGGAGGGGGACTCGGTGCTCGCTCTGCTTCCAGTCGCTGGCAGTAAAAATGACACTTCTGCTCCGCTGAGGTTGGGCTGCTTGATGGGAATCAAAAGTCTCTTCAGTCCTGTAGTTGTGCTGAGCTTGTGCGCAGGCAGATGAATGCAACTGGGGCCTGAATGCAATTCCATTTTCTTTGCAATTTGGCCAAAAAAGTAATGTGAAAGTCAATGGCACCATCCCAGGTCAGGGAAACAGAGATTTGGTCCTCTCAGGTCCTCCCTGGATGAACAGTGATGCTGAGAGATCCCCAGCTCCTTCCCAAGCTGCAGCTCCTGTGCAAATAGGGACCTGCTTTAGTCTCAGCAAGACTAAAGGCAATTTTTTTTCCATGAAGAGAGAAGTTRTTTATCCACAGGAACAGACAGTGGCTTCACAAGGTTCCCCCAAGAGCATCATCTTCTGGATGCGCCAGAAAGGGCCGTAAGGAGCCAGGGGTGCGGAGCCAAATTCACCTGAGCTGACCCCAGTGGCAAGGAAAATCTTCTGGATTTGCTGGAACGGGTGGGTTTTGTTTTGCTGAAAACACGAAGCCTCTTTACCTTGGCAGCTCTGAGCAAGAGTATGCAGGGTGCTCATCAGCCTGTGCACGGGACGAGGAGAAGCCGCAGGTTGTGCTGCTCTCCCTGCTCAAAACCCATCTTATGACATTTTAGATGCCTACTATGGCCATGGAGAGCCACCACCAAAGAGTCTGTTTTCATCTAATATTTTCCCCGTTTCAGCTGGTGAAGCTGTGGGTAACGCGGCATCTTCTACATGCGCAGTGCCCAGCCCCTCGCCAACTTGCTCCCGGCGCTGCTGGAAGTGGTTTCAGGGCACTCAAACCACAGCAGCATCGCGGATTCTGTATTTTTGCACCAAGTTGTTTATGTCGAAGGCATCAGGACAGCTTTGTGCTCTGTCCTGCTACCAAGCTTTGCCTGGAGAAAGCTGCGGTGGGCCTGGAAAGCCAAGAAAGGGCACTTTTGGGGTGCCAAATGCAGCCTGGAAAGGGTTTTGGTGTCGTGAGCAAATAAACTGGCTCCTGTTGCTGGATTCCTGAGCGTGCTCAGGGCAACAGGGCTCTCTTCTTTCTTTTTCTTTTTTTTTTTATGCCCTCTGTCAATAAACAGGACCGCATCAAAGGCAGCGCTACCTCCAGCCCCAGCTCCCATTCCCCAGGGAAAACAACCTCGAGCACTGGGTCAGACAGAGCAACTTTGTTTTTCATCAATTCTTCACATTTTTTTTTTYCCCGCTGCATCTCCTCTCATCATGAGCTCAATTGGATCTCACCCCACTGCCATAAAGAGATGTCCCCCAAGCAAAAGGCCTGAGGCTGCAAAAAAAGCAGCGTGCTCATAATGCTCCCAAACCTGCTTGAGCTTCCACGGAAAAGCAAAAGGCTGCAAAACGCTGCAGGTCTGCAGGGTTAATGGGGAGGTTTGGGGGGAATTCTGCGGCTCCCGGCCTGGACACGARCTGGAGCAGCTCGGCAAGGGTTAAGCGGGTGATGTAAATGGAGAGAGACATTCTTAGTGCAAACAAAAAGAGAGTCATGCCCTGAGGATCAGTGGCTGAATGCGGGGTAAGGCAGTTCGCCCTCTCTTCTGAAGGAAACATTTTAATTAGCTCAATACAAAACAGATACAGCCCAGAGGAGTCACCGCGAGCAGGAAATGCTTTGTAGGYCTCAGAGGAGGGGTGGGAGACAGCRGCAGTGCTGGCCAATTAAAAAAGGGGAAAAAAAGAGAAAAAGAGCGAGGKGGGTGTTTGCACTGGGTCTGGTGGGCTCCGGTTTGCACCTTTAACCGCATCCAGGAGGATCCTGCTCCGGTTCGCACCTCTTGCTCACAGACCACAAAAAGGAGCTGGGGCCCTTGGGGGATCCCTGGGTTTGGGGAGGCCAGAGATGCCCCACATGCCCCTCAGCCCTGAATGGTGCTGCCCAAAGCACAGGGAGCCCCAGGAAGTTTGTTTTCCTGCTCCCGACGAGGACTTGACAAGAGCTGAAAGTCCCACGGCGAAATCTGGTTGATGGAGATGACCGTGAGCAGCTTGGCTATCACCTTCCTATCAGGTGTGGGAGAGGCTTCTCGGGGCACCGCAAATATCAGGAAATGGAGGTAACATTGGCATTGAGGATCGCAAATATCGGGAAATGGAGGTAACATTGGCATTGAGGATCCCTGCGCGACAAGTGTCAAAGCCATGAATAGGGGCCTCTCTGCCCCTCTTTCATGCTAATCATGAGAAAAGGCCCCCCTCTTGCCCAGGCACTGGTGCCTGATGCCCCCGCAAGCCCTGGGGAAGAATAAACCCTTTGAAGCTGCAGAAAGCGCCCCGGGCTTCAAAGCCACGCTCCTGTCTGCTGCTTTCCCACTGTTCCTGAATGCATCACTCCGGATTAGTAAATGAAAGAGATTAAAGCATTTGCACGTTGTCACTTGGGGCTTTGCTTCCACTGGCTCCTCCTGCTTCTACCTCGCTGGGAAGAACCACTGGGAAAGGCAGCTGGAAAAGCTGGGAAGGGAAGGCGGAGATGCAGAGCTCAACTTGGCGAGCTTGGTGTGCATCAGCACTGCAAGAGTGGAAGTGCAGGGCGCTGCCACAGCTGAGGACAGGCAAGTCCCCACCGCCAGGGCCTGGCAATGCGGAGCTGGCTTCACTACCATCTGCTAGCCCAAAAGGGAAAAGAGGTGATCAGTTTGGGGCTGCGATTCCTCGCTAGCAATACCAAAGACTGGTCCAAAAATGTAACTTTTTCATGTAGAAAAAGTACACGGAGCCTATCCATAAGGTCAGCAGCTGCAGTATAGACTTACTTATAAGTGCTTATATAGCACTTATAGTGCTGATCACTGCCTAGAAGAGTCCATGCCCTAGAGCCTCATGCAAAATAATCATTAAATAAACAAAAAAAATAAAAAAAAAAAAAACAGAAAAATCTTATTTAGATGGCTGGAAGGAATAAAGGAGGAGGTGCCCACCCGGACCCGCTCGTGGGGCTGCTCTTGCAGGTCCTGCCTGGGGCAGCCAAGCGAAACCCTCCCCATGAACGTGATTCCTGTGCTGTCGGCACAAGGCACCCGCTGTGCCCCACAAAAATACTTGTTTATTTTCAAGGTCGGCTCTGAGACTSTAGCAAAGCACAACGAGAACTGCCACAACCTGCAGACACCCCTGGGTGAAAGCTAGAGGGAATCTCAAAATTAGTAAAATGCACAATTTGAGCCATCGTTTTTGGCTTCTGCACAGCTCCTGTCACCTATAAAACCTGTTTGTCACCTGATTTAGAGATAACGTGGTTACAGACAACAGGAATCTAGAAAAAAAAAAAAAGAGTCCTTTTGGGTGCGAAAGGCTTTCATCTGCTCTGTCAGAAACTGCACAAAACTACTTTGTAGCTTCAGTTGTTTCAATAAATAAGCAAACAGGATGCCCTGTGCAGCCAGGCCAAGGAGGATACGTGAAAGCAAGGAGGAGAAAAAGCAAACATTAAGATGCAGCATCAGCCCCCAAATCCACRCTGTCATCATCTTGCCCTTGGCTTAATGCGCTTGTGGACAACAAGCTCTACCTACAGCACAGCAAGACTGCCACATGGCAGAAGTACTACAGCTGAGTTTAAAGCCTGGTTTTTACCCGGCGTCATTATTTTCCATACAAATGAACGGCTGACCTGCATCAAGCTACAAGCTGGTTCTGCCAAAGGTTTCCTGGAGCGCCAGGCTGAGGCTCGCGGGGTGCAAGTCGGTGTGAGCCCTTGTGCAGGTCGCACCTGCCAAGGGCTTTTGTGTTTGCTTGACTCGGCCCTTGCAAACGCACCCCGTTTGAGCAGGAGCCACAAGCAGTGCGTGGAAGAGAGGCCTGTCCTGGTGGCTGCTGGATGTGGAGCAGGAGGCRCAGGATCAGGCGAGCAAGCACCTTCAGATTGCTTCATGTGCAAGGAAAAGGCCCCGTTGAGACTTTCCTGCTRAAGAACTTCTTAAGGGCTCCAAGTTTTCTTTAAGCTGCTTTCTCTCATTTCACAATCAAGTTCATTCTGCCGTGAATTTAGTGGAAAAAAATTTAGTGGACGCCGGACGATCCAAGCCATCCCAAGGTGAACTTGCAAGGAGTGGGGACCCTCCCTGGCTGCTCGTCTGCCCGCTGCTCCGTGCAGCAGCTCCGTCCTTGACGGTCCCCGTGACACTGTCCCCAGCGTTGGACCTCTCACCAGCTGACCCGCTGGCAGCGCGCGGGGACAGTCGTCTGCCTAAGCCTTTCCAGTAGGAAACCCATATGGAAAACATTTAAATTTCATCAGATACTCCRCATCCCCAGTTGTCTCCGTTCCATGCTTTTCTCCTCCATTTGTTTGTTTATATGTTGCCATTTCAACCTCTAACACAAACTTGTTTTTCAGTTAAATGTTGGCTGTCGAAACCACATTGTCAGAGGACCCATTTCTGGAACAGATCCAGTTCTTCACAACCACCTCATCCCTCTACATTGCTGCTCAGTTTCACTTACGGAGACGTTCATTATATTATAGATTACAGGAGGACACGAACTTTGTTTCACATTTGCTTTGCTCTATTTCATGGTGCAAAGGTCTCTCCTTCAGTTATTCAGCGTTGCTGCACATTCCCAAGATGCTGCCAGCCACAGTGCCCAAATCACAAGCTCGTCTCTCCCTAATTAATGAGATTTTCTGACCACTTTTTTTTACAGGCCTTTAAAATACATAGAATAGCAATAAGAGGACATCGAGAGAGTACTAAAAGCACTTATTTCTGTTAAAGAGCATGCTTACTCCTACTCCATGCTCCTCCAAAGCTTGCTGAGTTGGGACAAAGCTATCAGGAGGAAGACTAGAGAGCAAAGCGGGAGAGGAAAGGACAGGCCAAGGTCAGAAACTGCTAGGTTCAACTTTAAAACATTCCAGGAATGGCAGAATTTAAAAAGATCAYGTTGTAGACTAACTACTGGTCTTGTCTTCAAGACAAGAAAGGAAAGAACACAYGGTGTCTTGTAGAGCTATTCGAAACATTAGCAGTTTGCAGGACTGACAGCTTCTGTTTATCTCTCCTTTAGGACAAAAGGACTTGAAGAAACCCATGGTCGTGAGGTGCCGAGCAACCTTCCTGGGATGTGTTTCTTCAGGGAGAAAAGGGATCGCTACCTTATTTTATGGATGTCCCTGAAGTAGGCTTTGGAGTTCTTTGGAAGCACATCCCAAGCCTGGCATGGGAAACCACAGCAATCACACCTGCTTGACAGATGATTCCTTTAAGTACAACCTGTACGGAGCTGTGTACAGCGTGGTCTTCATCCTTGGCTTGATCACTAACTGCGCCTCCCTTTTCGTTTTCTGCTGCCGGATGAAAATGCGGAGCGAAACGGCCATATTCATGACCAACCTGGCTGTGTCGGACCTGCTCTTTGTGTTCACCTTGCCTTTCAAAATCTTTTATAATTTCAACAGGCACTGGCCTTTCGGGGACAGCCTGTGCAAGATTTCCGGCACGGCCTTCCTCACCAACATCTACGGGAGCATGCTGTTCCTCACCTGCATCAGCGTCGACCGCTTCCTCGCCATCGTCTACCCGTTCCGCTCTCGCACCATCCGCACGAGGAGGAACTCGGCCATAGTATGTGCTGGTGTCTGGATACTGGTCCTCAGCGGGGGAATTTCAGCCTCGCTGTTCTCCACCACCAAYGTCTCTAACACCAGCACGACTTGCTTTGAAGGTTTCTCCAAGCGCATCTGGAAAACCTACCTGTCCAAGATCACTATATTTATTGAAGTGGTGGGATTCATAATTCCTTTGCTGCTCAACCTTACGTGCTCCTCTCTAGTACTCAGGACTCTTCGGAAACCTGCCACCTTGTCTCAGATTGGGACAAACAAGGAGAAAGTACTGAAGATGATCATTGTGCACGTGGCCATTTTTGTGGTGTGCTTCGTGCCCTACAACTCCATCCTCTTCCTCTATGCCCTGGTGCGCTCCCAAGCGATAGCAAACTGCTCCTTGGAGCGCTTTGCCAGGACGATGTACCCCATCACATTGTGCATCGCAACCATGAACTGCTGCTTCGACCCCTTCATCTACTACTTCACGTCAGAGTCCTTCCAGAAGTCTTTCAACATAAAAACCCAGATAAAAATGGATTCTTTCTTCAAGACTGAAATGCCCCTAACGAAGACTGCGCTACCGGCACCCCAGGATGAAATAAGTGACCAGGCCATTACGAATGGGGGGGATCCAACATCCGAGTCACATTTCTAGCCATGCATTTGCACGTGGAGCTGTCGTCCATTCATTTCTTCGTTAACATCATGTGCAAAATAGTTGCCGCAGAACGTGGGTTCACACATGGTGCTGCTGAAGGAAAGTTAGGGGGGGACAAGTGCACCAGTGGGCAAACGCTCACATGGGATTGCTCCATCAGGCATCTCCAGCTGAGAACACGAGATATAATAATCCGGATGGGTCTCTCTGGAGAATACAGATGTGTGATAACACATACACCACCTAAGGAGGGCTTGGAGCAGATTCTGTAATCCCCAAAAGCCAACATTTGGCATTTTCCCCCTCAGTATTTGACCTGGAACCAGGTGGGAAATGTATATAGAAAAGATTCTTATAGGTATCTGCCAATATTTCATATCTCCTGGAGATGAATCATCATATGTTAACTCAATAATTCACACAATATGTATATTTGCTTAAAAAGGTGTAATAAAAGCCTTGGCTTTTCCTTATTTCACTGCAAGAGTACATATCCTGGTTTTACTAGGTACAGGCATTTAATATTTAGCTTTTGGAGAGGTTTAGAGTGTAAATAATTATGATTTGAAAAGAAGGCAAAACAGCTGCTTGATGGTATAAAAGAAAATTAATAAGAAAAAAAGAACAATTAATGAAGCTATTTAGAAATGAGCTTCATCTTTGTACAATTAAGCTGCTTTTTATTTTAAGTGCCATCTCTGGGGAGAAGCACAGAGTGCATTATGGCCATGCTGCACCTGGGCTTTTATATCCCAGGAGATTATGAGCGACTATTTCTGGTAAGGGCTGGACTATAAAATTAGCTGAAAGAAAGGGTCTGAAACCCCAGAATTGTTTGTAGGCCAAGTCTGTTATATAGAACTTGTGCATAAATGAGGGCTGGAGGAAGCATAAAGTGCTGTTCCTGCTAAAGAACATGTTTGGATATAGATAACTGGTGTCTTATTAGCAGAATTAATTTTCTGCCTATTAGAAGAAGATSCTGTAAATGATTGTTTGCTATTTTTTTTTTTGCTACACAGTCAACTAATTAATTAAGCTAGGGGTCTGAAAGTAATTCCAGAAGATGAATAAGTAAAACAAGTTAGCTGCACTGTTTTCCTACATAGTCATAGCGATGTGTTTTCTTGTTTTGCAATTAATTTATTACATCCTGCACTTCCTTTTATAGATTATATAAATATATATGTAAATTTAACTGTCTATGCTGTTGCATTTTACTGAGTGATTCATTCCTGCAGCTTTTGTGGCACACAAACTATACTGACCTTAACTGGCTGGTTCATTCTTCAGTGTAAGATAAGTCAATGAGATAACCAACGGAACATGGGAAAGAATGAAACTGCTGCTTGTTAGATCAATGATATCCAGTTTCTGCTGGGCAGTATGAAGTTGCTTCTAGGGCTATATTGCCCATAACTGACAGATAAAAACCTTAATGGAACAGATGCCTTCCACTCAGCGGCTTATCTTCATTTTGCAGATCAAGTTTCATGAAAGCTGCATCTCACATGCAATTACATCTCAAAGCAATCAGTTTTTAAAGGTGTGAAAAGAATTCAATTGTAAAAAATGCCATGCCTTGGAGGGAATATTTATGTAGCACTGCTTCCACTTTGAACGAAAAAGTGATTTGCTTAACAAGTCTATGGCGGGGCGTCGAGGTCGGTCTAGTTTAGCTCTAAACCGACTATGGGTTATATAGTGCCTTGGTACTGCGGAGAACAAGTATATAAACAAATGCACTATCTGCAGGGAGAATTAGAGCAGCCAAAACACTAAATCTCAGCACTGAGTTTTGGCTGCTTTCACTCCAACCTTGCCTGGGAGCCTGGATGCGACTATTTATTCATACTCTGATACAAGCAGGGTTTCCCATAGGCAGCAAACTCATGAAACACACACAGAATTTGGGATTTTCTGGGACAAGGCTGCCGTGGTGCAACCAAGGGCAGAACCATTGCAGCAAAGCCAGCAACGGGACGGCAGCATCTCCCTAGTGAGGACCCTGGCAGACCTGCTCCCCGCTCCGCACACCTTCCTCCAGTTAAATTTGCAAGAAAAAAGCCAAACCTGCCCTAGAAACCACTGTCTAGCCTTCTTAAGGAAATGTTAAAAGCRAAGGGGGAAGCGCTCTGTGGGCCTGGACGCGCTCCAGGCCGTGCAGACATAGCTTGACTGTAACCCCAGCATAATGGTTGTCTTCTTCTGCGCAGAACCAGTGCCAATGCTTACAAATTTCTGTTTGCAGTTTTATGGGGCAAGAGCTGTGGTTGATATTCCCGCATAAAATGTAATACTATCATCATGTGCCAGAATGCTAACTGAAAAGATTCATTATTTTGTAATTTAATACCTTATAAATTAGGTGGAGATCGTATGTTGACGGGCACTCACATCTCCTAGGATAGTTCTTGACTGATCTTTTTTTCTAGGTCAGGTATAGCACGTAAATGCTGCATGGTTTGTGTATAAATAAGCAATTATGCATTCAGGGAGAGGAAAAGGAATTTTTCAGCTGTTGGTCAGGACAAGCTGGAAGGAGCGATGGTGGCAAATGAAAAGTGGATTCAGTCTTTCTGGCTAACGTGCTGACAATTTGCTCTCCAGCCCCGTCCCACAAAGGGCTATTGTCAGGCAAGGTGCAAACCGGTGGCAGGAGGTTAAAATGCAAAAAAAAAAAAAAAAAAAAATCAAAGTAAGAAGGTGTATGTGCTTTTATGCAGCCACAGCAGCTCTCTTGAGTGCTTGGCATAAAGCAACGTTAACCAAAGGTCTCGTCGGCTCCCTGCTTCTCCTCGGTGACCCTTTGGATGTCGGCTACCACCTCGCTTGGCAAAGCTCCTGCTGGAAAGGCCAAGTTTTACACAGGCACATCCCGACAAAACGCCCTCACCAGCCTACAAGCTTCGTGGAGGCTGTTGTTACACAAGGAAGCAGAATCTGTTATGATGGTCCCGAGGAAAGCTGGGTTTTCTTTAGTGAAAGAACTGGATGGGTATCAGCAGAGCGGTGCCAAGGGCTCACGTGACAAYGTAATTCTTCCCTTGGCAGAATTAGTGGGAATTACCCAGCCTCCAATCCCCCTCCTCTGCAGAGGCCAGGACGAAAGTCACTGGTCAAGAACTCCCTGCATGAGGAGGAAGAGCTCCTGGSCAGAGAGGAAGGCTCCGCTCCTTGTCCCAGAGATCTGCTGGGGGGTCCAGCCTCGAGGTCCATCCAAAACCAGCCCCACGACACGTTTCGAGAGCCCTCCCAGGGGTTTGGCAGGCGAGAGCGCGCCTGGCTTCCCGGCGCAGGCTTTGCTCCAAGCACAGAGCATCCAACTGGTGCCCATTTCAGCAGGTTAATGGATTTGCCAGCATTATTCAATTGCTTGCTGTTAAATGGGCCTATTTCACAGTGAAGAAAAAGCAGAGCAGAGCACTATTTCCATTTTTCTTTGGAAAATGTCACCTCACTTACAAATAATATTTAGCTGCACTGGCGGTTCTTTCTAACTTCTTAAATTTTCCCTCTCCCCTGTAAAAGCATCAGGAGCCACAAACACCAGGGCAAAAAGCAGAGTCAGGTGGTTTCTCATTAGGGTCGAGTAATTACGTCATTTGTCCATTTTCCCCAAATGGGAAATGTGTGTCGAGMGCCTAAGCAAATCCTGTGCTAGCTTTTTCCCTGCATGTGGGATTTTGACCAATGCAAACACTGCACCGAGGGTATCAACACACRGGTTTTTTTGCACTGTTTGCTCTTTTATGTGTGTGCGTGCGTTTGCGTGCGTGCCCATAATGAAAAAGGAAAGCTTTTTTTTCCGGCAAAACAGTCCATGTGAGTGTGCTCATTTATCCTCGCTTCCATAAATACGCATGTTAACTGGAATAATATTTAAATTGAAGGTTTTCTGCGGCCCTCTTGAGAAACTCTGGCTACATCCATTGCACGCAGAGAATTTCCTGGAAACCATAAGTCTGGGAAAGTGGCCCTTCCCTTTCTGCCTTTTCATATGAGCACCCCCAGCTTGTCCTGTGGCCATCATGGGGGGCTCCCTTTGCAGTCACTCACCTGGCAAAGCGGCATCCACAGACCTCCACAAGCAGAGCAGGAGGCCACAGCAGCTGTCAGGCGGCTTTGCATTTGCTAAATTAAATCAGCTGCACGAGGGCGAGCAGGGAACGTGCTTCCCACAYCGCTGGGGCAGAGCTCAGGGCCAAAGGGGCCCAGCGAGATGCCAGGTGCTTGTGCTGCACCGCTGTCACACCTTGCGCTGGAGGATACTTCCATAAAGAGCACTGGTATATAAAGGGGGGAAAAAATCTTGCTATAGTGTTGTAATAGCGGCTTCATGTCATTATTACATGACAAATCGTAGGCTGCCCTGTCACTGTATGCTACTGCCTTGAAAAGAATGAGTGCAGTACAACACTCGTATCTGGGAATAACGGAGAAGAAAATGATAAAAAAAAAAAAAAAAGGAATAAAATCTTGCACAAGTGTAGGGCATGATTTAGGAAGGTCAGGCCCTGGCCCTGCTGCTCCAGACAATGAGATGGGGACTTTCAGTATGATAATTCTTTTGCGCATAAGCATCACCTTCAGTGCCCCATATAGCGCATCTTTCACAAGGGCCACCCAGTCTTTTTCCTACCTTTCAGTCATCTCAGTCCCCTTCCTTATCTTCAGAGTGGTCAACTGGCAGAATCTCGTCTGCAAAGCAACGTCTTAASCCWTTCCTCGCCCTGTATAAATCATCAYGGAGCTTTCCTGCACAGATGTTGCTTCACGTTGCTCTCCACTGCCTGTGCAATAAAAAAGCAGCATTTAGCATTCACTAATTTGCCCTGCTGCAGCTACAAGCACCTCCAGCTACCACAGGAGGGGTTTTGCTTTTGACGTCTGCAGCTCTCCTTGACATTTGCACACGAGCAATATCGACTTCTTGRAACTAGCTTAAAGCCATTTATGTAACTCTCTGACTTTGCAACCCACTCAGACAATAAATGAAGTGGATGAGTTGGGATGGCTGACAGATCTGAGGAGACCTTGATTCATTTCCAGATTTGTGCAGAGATGAGATGATTCGACTTATGAAAGGATGAATTTTAACCCAGCCCACAATCCCATYCTGTTAAATACTCTTCCTGCAATAACTGGAAGCTGCAGAGTCCGGGGACAGGGGGCTCTACTAAAATTCCTTACCAACCTAAGGCTTTAAGCCCAAACAAAGCACACAAAGCTGCATGGGCTGAGACTTGCTTGTTCAAATCAGGAAAGATCCCATTGCATGCACAATTTATAGTGCATAATGCAGGTCCATCCACCCYCCAGCAAACAGCTCGTTCCTTAACCCAGGAGCCTGGTTCATARTGTGTTTTTCCTTAGGTAACTTAGCCTGTTTGGGTTTGCGCTCCAGCTCTCACAACACCCACGTACCCTCCACTGATACAGCAAAACGCCCTTGGGAGAAGACTAAGCAACGCTGGGCCGGCGAGGGAGCAGGACAGGGACACGGGCAGGGAGAGGGCGAGGAGGAGCGCGGCGGGGCGGCCAACACGTTCGCCCCGGTCTTCCAGAGTCCCCATCTGTGGCAGCCTCAGCCYGGAGCTGCACCCCAAGTGGTGCCAGAGCCGCATTTAGCTGGTGGGAGGGGTATTCAGTGGGTGTTAAGGCACCTGCGGATTTGYCTGACACTAAACCTCACCCTTTGTGGCATCTCCAGCACTCCAGTGAAGGGCCTGGTAAGAAATTTGCAATGGGTAAATTCCTCTCAAAATAAATAAGCAAAAGCCAAGCTCACAGTCGGCAAAGTGACAGCTCCTCTGTCCAACTGACAGCTCCTCAGTCCTTGCAAGTTAAGCTGACACAGGCCTGTTAGGAGCAGAAGGGTCAGCCGGTCGTAGACCTGCTAAGTTGGGYTTTAACTGCATCTTGGCTCAGGCCATTAGTCTTCTCACGCTGACGAGGGCCACAGAACAACTGGCTGCATTGGAGCCCGAGGCTCGTCACTCATTTCAACCGGCAAACCCCAATGAAAAAGAAAGAAAACGAGGTTTTAAAGCACTGCAGTGGCAGAAGGGTAGGAAACAAGT